CAAACACATGAGAGATTGATACCAAGAAAGGGAAATGAAAAATGAAACAAAATAACCATTGAATAGTAGACGAAATGAAACATTGCTAAAAATTTGTCTGTAATGTTCAAAATATAGTATTATCTGATCGACTGGAAACATACTCTTACGCCGTGGGAGTCATAGATGACCGGCAGCAAGATTAATGTACTACGCATGATAAGTTTGCATAATACATATAATCATATTGTGTAATATATTATTATATGATTCTAATGGGCAATCACTCTTTGGCGCTGAAGACAAAACCAGCAGAAACACGCTCAGCAGTGAACGTGTTAAACATAAAAGCCTCGAGCTTCGAGGCTCGAGCCTCGACTACTCAAACCCTTGAAACTCGAGCCTCGAGCCTCGACGACTCGAGCCTTGGAGCTCGAGCCTTGAGCCTCGAGCTTCATATGATTGTAGCCTTAAAGACTCAGTCTTTAAGGCTAAGCTTTGTAGCTTCAAAGACTCGAGCTTTATACAACACTAGATGTATACGTTCAGCAAAAACCGTCGCTGTGGTTTACAGGCACATTTATTCGCCAGAATGATACATTTGCTATGGCTTATTGGTGGATGTACATATGTATGTATACCCACAGTAAATATCATTTCAGTGAAGTTATGACATCGATTTACCACTAAATACTGTATACTGTATACTGTATTTGACATTGAAGTTTCTCAATGTCAAATACAGTATACAGTATACAGTATTTAGTTTTTATCAAAACATCACTGAATACTGTATTTGACATTGAAGTTTCTCGATGCTTTTTCTTTGTTAACGAAACATTACATTTCAGCAAAGAAGTTACACTATGAGTTTTAGAGGAATTCAATCCAATGCAAGAATTGAGTCCAATTACTCCAATTTAATAATTAGCGGAATCAAAACATTAGGAACCTATGCTCAACTACAGTGAGAGAAGAAAGTTACATTCGTGCACACGGAGAATCTGATTACCGATTGATAATGCTATTTTCAGTATACTACCAAGTTAAAAATTATTCTCTCTCGGTTATTCTATAATAATTTTGTTTTCTGTTAATGGCATAGTTTGATCAGCATAATCGGGCCCGAATTAAAATGTTGGGGGCCTAGGGCTATGAAACCATCGAGGGCCTCCTTGACTAAATGGAGAGGGGGGGGGGGGGGCAAAAATGTTTACAATAAAACACAATAAAATACATAAAACTTCAAAAAATGAAATTTATTTTAAGTAAAATTAAACAACATTTAATCATAGTTGATTATAAGTGATTTGTATAATTTAGTTAAGTTATGAGTTATAACGTATAACGAATAATGCTTCATTATATTTTGACAACATTGATCTGATTTATCTTTACATTTAGTGCAATTTCTAATATATTTCAAAAGGGAAAGAATAAACACAATTTCATTCAATTAGTTTTCTAACATAAATGGGATGCTTAGACCCTCCAAAAGGTGGAGGCCTGAGATGCAGCCCCCCCCCCCCCTCCTTAATCCGGCACTGGACATAATTATGAAATTAACGTTAATGTTACACTAAAAACAGTATTATTAAACGATAATATGTGTTACCGGTGTGTAAATACTTTTTTCTGTCACTGTATGTATTAGGAAACCCCCAAATAGTTTATGACCGAATAGAAAGACCCGTCCACAACATTTGTTACCCTTAGATACGCTTTAGCCATATAGAGTGCCTAAGTCCGCCCCACTCCACACTTTAATTGTAAGAGGTAAAATGTATAATTAAATTCAAAATCAATATACATACTGACAAAAACAACCTTATGATTTCGGTAATTATAAAACACCAAATCTGAAATTCACAATTTGGACGGGTCTGGTAGTGACAGTGTCAAGCAATTTTTATATTATTGGAGAGTTCGTAACGTTTCGATAATCGTGACGTTGTTACTTTTTTACTGAACGAAGGAAAAATTGACTGATCTCATGATCAGATACTACATTTTCCAGGCGTGGATTTAATGTATTTTTTCTATGAGTTACTAGTCGTTTTTTAGTTTTCTGTAAAAAATACCGACGTACTGTATGAATAAGCACGAAGTCCATTTTCATTACGTTCTATCCAACTTGTAAAAAACTTACACTACTTCGATTGGCAAAATTTTGTAGTATCTACCCACTTAATTAGAATTTGCTCTATCAGATGATTAGGTATTCCTTTAGATCGCTGGAATATTCTATATGAAGAAACAACTTCGAAAACAAAATCCGTCTAGAAAAAAGCTGAATACCTAGTTCTTTTAGTCAATACGATCGAGGTTTTACATACCTAGTAAAATGAAATTAATACAAAAAATAGAAAATAATTGCCTGTTCTGCCCTTAAAAATACCACGAACTTTCCGAACAGCCCAATATTTTTTACAAATTCTTGTAAATCAATGTGAAAGTTTTATATGTATAGTATATATATATAGTATCTAGTATGGGTGATGAGTGACGAGTGACCTGCCCATCGGTTTTTATAGTCCATTATGTAAGAAGAACTTGAGAACTGGCTAACTGTCATAATAAAGTACATTTAATAACATGAACGAACTTATTACCCAGCCTAATATATTATTCCGTGGAATAATCATTAAGGAAGTAATTCCGCGTACAAAATTATGTCGGAAATGTAAAATAAATTTTGTCACATAAATCTTCATTTTCAAGAAGAGTGTCTCTGAAATTTTCTGTGTAAGGTAAATGATACAATATACATATAATAATTGAAAAAGGTAAGTAATAAAGAAACACGTTAGTCTTATACGAAGAAATTTCAGAATACGTTGTTGACTTCTTTGTGCATAAGAGATTGCATTCTTTTTGGATACCACCTTGTATTGGCTTGAATCATAAATAGCATCCCTTGTAGATATTAAGAAATTACTAAATGATTGTTATACAACAACGATAGTAAGACTATTTATATTTAATAACGATTCATGAGTTCAATAATGATTGAGAACATGTGATATACATTAATGTTCATTGTACAATGTATTAACTCGATATAAATTTTAAATAGGAAAATAAAAACATATCACAACTGCATTTTTGTAAATAAAATGTTAATTCCGTAAATATTTATGAGCAAACTTTTAATGTCATGAATATTAATAAATAAATTTCTTATTTCATAAATCTTTGTAAATAAACTTCTTATTACACATTTATAAATGAAGAACAGAAAAAATTTATTATTTACCTTAATATTAACCAAAAAAAAAATTAAAAAATGGCGTCTTATTAACACTGAAACTACCACCGCTGAAGATATGTATGTAAATTAAAGTGTATAATATAGTAATATACATAATATACATTTCGTATAATTTAGCATAATACAGGGTGTCCCCAAAATTGTAGTGCACCGGCCGGGTGGTGATTCTACAAAAAAAAGTGAGTCGAAAAAAGAATAAATTTTTTTCGTTTCATGTTTCGTTTTCGAGTAAATCGAGTTTGAAGATTAATCTGAAACGTACAGGGTGTTTTGTTTAACTGGAAACGGTGGATATCTCATGAAGTATTAAAGGTATCAAAAAAATCTTCGTACAAAAGTTGTTTGGTACAAAGGGGGACATTACGTGGTATAAATAATTTTTTTATAAGTGTAGTGGTGAGGGAGATATCAAAGTCAAGTTAATTGTTTTAAATCGAACCCTGTATTTTTTTATTCATATTATGATAGTGTTTGTTGAGACGAATACAACGAACTGCCACATGATATCATTCCCTGTAGTAGGAAGTGACAAATTAGTAAGATTTTAAGAAGTCAGTCCAACGCAAATCGCCTAGTTGAACCCTACGTGACGAAATAGAAACAAACGATGAAACAAATGAAAACTGTACTTGTTTTGTTTTCAACCAAGAAATGGCCAACACTGAAAATAACAGTCAGTTTAAGAGTACAACTTCAGTTCAGTATTTGCCAAAAAGAAACCACACTTTTCTGAAATAAAAATTAGAATTCTCTTTATGTAACTTATAGACAAACTTACAAAAGTAATACAATTTTTAATTAATCCATCTTCTGAATTATCTAATATTTGTCAACCAAGAAATGGCCAACACTGAAAATAACAGTCAGTTCAAGAGTGTTCGCCATTTCTTTGTTGAAAACAAAACACGTACAGTTTTCATTTGTTTCATCGTTTGTTTCTATTTCGTCACGTAGGGTTCAACTAGGCGATTTGCGTTGAACTGACATCTTAAAATCTTACTAATTTATCACTTCCTACTACAGGGAATGATATCATGTGGCAGTTCGTTGTATTCGTCTCAACAAACACTATCATAATATTAACAAAAAAATACAGGGTTGGATTTAAAAAAATTAACTTGACTTTGATATCTCCCCCACCACTACACTTATAGAAAAATTATTTATAACACGTAATGTCCCCCTTTGTACCAAACAACTTTTGTACGAACATTTTTTTGATAACTTTAATCCTTCGTGAGATATTCCACCGTTTCCAGTTAAACGAAATACCCTGCATGTATTCGTCATGGCAGTAAGTAGATACAGAATGCAATGCACAGACGCGCTGGCCAAGTCCTAATCAATTGCACGCGTGTCAAGCAGATTTTCAAATTCGACTATCTTGAATACCAAGCCTTAAATGAAAAAATGTTATGTCGTTTACGACTTATTTTTGAATATAGAATTACCATCTGACCGGTTGTACCATAATTTTAGGGATATCCTGTGACTATAGTATAATAGAAAATGCATAGTAAATTAAAAGTCAACATAAATCTCACCGCAAGCATTATTATAATTTCAGTAATCATAACATAAGAAATCAGCAATCCGTCATTTTTACGGATTTGGTAGTTCTAAATGTAATGTAATGTGTGAGCTGTTGTTTTTTAATCGATTAAAGCGGTGGTCATAGTGGCACCGACATCCGTCGTCGGGCGAATCGTCCGATGTCGGTGCCACTGTGACCGCAGCCTAAGGGAAAATGAGCCAACGAGCGTAATAACTAATGGAGACTTACCGAATCCTCAAACGTGGGATTCCCATAGCTCCTTTTCGAAGATCTGGCCACCCCTTTGCGTCTGACGCTGTTGTACGCGGAGACACTGTCGACGCTATACGCATCCAGGGATACTGGACGACATCGTTCGCCATAGTTGAATCTCGTTTGTCTCTTCCTCATTATGAACTGTGAATAGATTAGTAAATTAATCGTTACCAATAATTTTGAGGATCACATGACACGAAAAACTTAATCACTCTGCAAATTAATTTTTGAGGCATTCAGGCGGAGACTTCAACATCAACATAAAACATACGAGGTGTGTCAGGAAAGTAATGAGACTAATAGTGGAAAATTTATATCCCCGTCAAGACAGTTCCCTTGGGAAGCCATAAACTACTGGAAACGTTGTTCCCACTTCTTAAAATAGTGCTGGAAGTATTCAATTGACAGTGTTTTTCGTTGGTTGGTGACAGTCTTCCGAATATTGTCCACAATTCCCAAATGGCGACCTCGAATTTGGCTTTTCATTTTTGTGTCATACGGCCTCAGATTAGGGGAGTAGGAGGCTGTAGTATCACCAAAATACCTTTTTGGTTGAAAATTCGTTCAAACAGGGTTTCCTTGGATGCTACCACATGACAACCTTCACTGTTTCACAAGACTCTATAAACGAGTTTCTGACCAATAAGAGTACTCCTGTAATTCAATAGCCCCGTTATTCTCCTGATCAGAGTCTACGTAACTTCTTATTGTTTCCAAAAATCAAAGCCTATGTCAAGGGTAGTCATCCTGACACTGTGAACAACATCCACAAAGTTGTGACAGACCAACTGAATGTAGTTCCAGTTGCAGAGTACCAGCACTGTTTCTGGAAGTAGGAACAACGTTTCAAGTTGTTTGTGGGTTCTTAAGACTAGATAGGTTAACAATAACAATTTCTACACTATCAGGCTCGTTACTTTTCTGACAGATCTCGTATGAAATCTGATTTGAGAAAATCTGAAGTGTTAGTAAGTAAGGGTAGAATTGCGACTGTTAGTATAATACTATAATTTTGGGTTGTTTATCAAGGAAGAGGACAGTTTCGTTGGATGATTGCGAAAAGAAATAAATGAAGCGAAGCACGAAGCAAACTGCGTTTCTAATACTGCTTTGTAAATTTGGCGATTTTGGTAAATTTTGCTTATAAGACGATCAGAAAAATGAACACAAGGAAGTATGATGATTGTTTTGATTACTCAACAATATTGGGTATTAAATTGTTCCTTAAATTGTGATAGTTGTTAATATATAATATACAATAATCCAATTAAATAAATCGTTGTAAAGAATGATTCGAGTGACATTTATATAAAAATGTTCAATGGTAAATGATTTTGGTAATTGCGATTAGGTTTAATTATAAATTACACATTACGAAATATATACTGTTAGAATGTAAGAAGGCAAATGGTTATCTGATAACTTGTCTAAATGACATGCGGATATGCACACAAGCTTTCGTATAATTACATTGCAAATCTTATGCATTTATAGTATACATAGTCGACAACTCAATGTAATAAGATGTCTAGTAATGTTTAATAAGGTTCCTGTATTATTTGGTACCTGATAAAATTCTTAATACAGTACATACATTTCTCTCTGAATTCAGTTTTTCGAAATATATTTCAAAAAATTCTGAACTTGCGTAAATATCTGCAGTCTACTAATGATTTACACATGTTTTCGGGAGGAAAATAATTTTGAAACTTCCGCTTACTCTTACATATTTTTCTTGAGCCATGTTTTCCAAACGATTCAACATGATTTCTCGAAAATTAAGAAACTAACTGCCTTCAAATTTAACACACATCTTCTGTATATTTCTCTTTATCGACCCTACCAAAACTATAAAAATACCATCACGATTTCTGTTATTTTAGATAAATTAAAATGTGAAAATTCTATCAAAAACGAAACATTCGTCCTCAACAGGCTGCTATTATTTTCTCCTTCGCTTCTAACGAATGATTATGGTAAATGCGATAGAGGTAAGTATAGGATTGAAATAACGGTTTCCGTTACGATATATTACGAAACTTTTATAAAATCACCATGTTTCTTGATGACTTCTTATAATTATTCCGTACCAATGCAAAATTGTGTTTAGTAACATTTTGGGGTTAATTAAAGAAAGCGTACATATCGGTATAAAAAAAGAAATATAACATTTATTAAAAATATATGTACATATATATAATTCAACAGAAAACAAACTGCGGAATTTCTATAAAGTCAGTTGCTTTCTACATAAGTAAAGTTGAAATTAACAATTGTTTTTCACTATTTCTATATTAATACTTAATGTAACCTTCATTTTTTTTAATGAAAATACAAAAACAGATACGATGGAGCAACGAAATTGGTGGTACTTTGAAAATACACTAGCCGAAATTTCTGTAAAGTCTTCATTTTCATAGATATTTTCAAAGTACCACCAATTTTATTGCTTCATCGTATCTGTTTCGGTATGTTCATTCAAAAAATGGAGATTACACTTAGTATTAATATAGAAATAGTGAAAAAAAATGGTTAATTTCAACAGCACTTATGTAGAAAGCGTATGGCTTTATAGAAATTTCGCAAGCTGTTTACTGTTGAATCATATCTTTGTTCTTTTTTTAAAATAACCGTTATATTTATTTTTTTAAACTGATGTGTACGTTTTCTTTAATTAATCCCAAAATGCTACCAAACATAAATTTTTCATTGATATGGTATAATTGTAAGAATTCAACAAAAAGCATGGTGACTTTATACACATTTCGGCCAGTGTATACTTGTTCATTTCACTTTTTCAGTTCAGATGATTAAAATTAATACAATCGTGTCAACTTTGGTGACGAAATTTCTGGGAACTGTTTGCGCATTATACCTTCTATGCTAATAAATACTATTTACTTATATAAAATAAAATGGGAAAATACTTCAAAAATATTACTGAATACGTGTACAAAACAAGCTTGCGCAGATTTCTAGTTTTTAAGGAAAAACTCACGAAGTTTGTTCATTTTTCGCATGAGTAACTTTTTAACAGAGTTATTGCCTAGAAAAAACATTTTTGAAATGTCCTACGAATAAGGTATCAGTAAGATCTGAATGTATGTAATTTGGTTTCAAAGGCTTCGATCAAGAGATTTCAATATATCACGTCATTTCATCCATAAGTAATATCGTTTCCTACGTTAGTTGATAACGGAGCATTGAAGTCTCTAATTGAACTGGGAGCCCATCTAACTACAGAACAAATATCAGAAATATTCGATTCTACCTATAGTACTCTGCACTAATATTTCAAACAAATCGGAAAGGTGTCGAGACTTGGAAAATTGGTTGCATATGATCTGTCACTGACGAACTGTATCTAGCGAATGAAAATTTGTGCTTCACTGCGGGATCTACACAGCAATTATCCATCTCATGCAAAATAGAATTTATGCAGCAATCTTGAACGTGAAGGATAGTAGTTGTCTCTACATGAAAAACTTATACCTTATCTGAAACTAGAATTTCACCCTCGAACGATGTTACTGTGTGTGGTGAAATATCAAAGGTGTGATTCATTTTAAACTTTTAAATCAAAGTCAGACTATGACAGCAGATATCTATAGCCAACAAATTGATCGTCTACATCCAGCTTCGGTTGAAAAACGACGATGATTAGTGAACCGTAAAGGAATTCTGTTCTATCGTGATGACGCTAGATCAGACGCGGCAAAAACAGGTGTAGAAACAATTAAAATTTATTACTGAATACATATACTACGTTCACCATATCCTCCTGACCAACCACCAACCGATTACCATTTCTTAAACAGTAAAAAATTCGGCGATAGTGAGCACTCACAATCCACATTTAATTGAAAACGTCGAAAACATTTTCAAAAAGGAATCTAAAATTACATGACAGATGAGAAAACATCATAGAAAGCAACGATCACCACATCGATGGTTAAAAATAAATGTATAATATAAAAATCCTATAAAAATAAGGAACGGCATTAGTTATGGAGTAAGCTGATAGATGCTAAATAATTAATTGTATAGTTGTTGATTCATAATTAATTAAAATCTCCGAGCAATCCCAGGGTTTCTATAACTGTCGTCTCAAAAATTAAATTAATTCTTGAATACTTTAACAATTGATGTTGTACAATAGATGTAGGTTGCATAGTAAAATCACGGCTCTTTCTTTACTATGATTTCGCCATTACTTCTTACTTACATAATCGCATTTCTGTGCTCAAATTGCACTCCTATTTTGTAACATTAATTTTTAAATACCAGGTACATACAAGTACATATAAAAAAAAAAAAGTTTTTACAAACAGTATAATTCCCAACCACATCAACGTTATTCTGTTTGAAACAGCCCATATATGTATAAATATCGCAAGTTCATGTTTGGGTATGCCAAACAGTAAATCCTCGATGAGTGCTCGAAGGCTCTTCGGCACTGAACATTAAATATATCATAAACTAATGGCCACATGCGTCTGAAACAAATATCATAGGCTTCAAAATTCCAAACTCTATGACTGTGCTAAACCTCGTTAAGAAGTCAGCGTTACAACTGGGGACCTCTCCTTGTCAGTGCCGAAGAGCCTTCAAACACTCATCGAAGATTTACTGTACTCCGTGTGACAAAAACGCGACTCTGAGATAGTGTGACAAGTCAGGGTTAAGACGACAAGAGCTGTAATTCACGGCATCATTATCGGAGTATTGAGTTGTTCTTAATCCGGCAGCATACATGTAGGGGTCCACTGAATCTCCACCATCGGGGAATTTCATTCGTTTCTCATCTTTAGCTATCATTTTACCATTCAGTATAGCTTCTTAATACATTGTTAGCATTCAGTTTCGATTGAGGTTCCTTCAGAACTATATCGAATTTTCGTGTATTTGCATAGCGTTGTCAGTTGTTTGTGTTTTATACGTTGATCCTTATTGTATTTTTTTCATAATTTGGTCAGAATTTCTTTCAAATTCGTGATTGTTGATGTTGCGTGCGTGTTGTTCATTTTTTTTATAAGAATTATAAAAATTGCTTCTATTACGCTGTTATGTATTGTCTAAAGAAAATGAGTAATTGTATCAGAGAACAAATTAGAAGGAATCTTCAGGATGTATGAGATTCG